CAATTCAATTCAATTCAATTCAAATCACTTTAGAAAAAAATGACTTTAAAATGGCCAGCTGGTCAGAAGGAAATAAATATACTATAGAATACCTTTGAAACTACCAAAATAATCTGGGAATTTGCCATCATTTGAATCAGGAAACTATCAATTTGCAGTGACTTCATTGGTTTCCAATTGATTGTTGCATAAAATTTAACATATTAGCCATTACTTTTAAATATCTTAGTAAGATTTGGCTGCTCAGATATCTGAGAAATGGCTTGTAAGAAAAAAGGCCCTGCAATATGTCTCCAGAATCAACTGTTCGTATGATTATAGCAAGATTTACTCCATCGTAGCATTCATCCTGGTTCAACTACCTTTCTTGAGTGGACCGGATTCTTTCCCGAATGAATTTTATTGTGTGAACAAAACAATACTTCATAGCAGGACTTCCTCACCTATGGGTCACAGCCCACTACCAGGCCATGGCCTATTCGCAACCAGGTCCTGCGAGGGGTGCCTCAAAGGTTTCTCTTCTCTCTTCCGTGGAGCTTCATGTTCACAGGTGCCGGCTCGCCATTTGCATAGCCCTATTCCCCTCTACCCAACTCAGCCGGGCCGCCTGCTCCCAATGCTTCAAAAGAGGAGCAGTAACAGCAGAGGCTGAGTGAGATAAATGCGCCCTGGTCAACTTCGATCACTCACTGAGAATGCCTGCACAAGAAACCCAATCTGCTTTTGGAGCTTTGGGAAGCCTCAGTGAGTCTGAAGAAGCATGAGACCGCACCTTCAAAGCAGTGATGTGCAGTGAGGTTTATGGCTGGTGAGGCAGTCCTCTCCCCCAACACCCCACTTACTAAAGCATTTTCTTTCGCCCGCCTGAGCCTAAAGCACTTTCTTTCACTGCCTGTGCTCATGGCAGAGCTCGGGCGGGCTGCCGCGAGCACAGGCGGGTGAAAGAAAGTGACTTTCTTTCGCCCGCCTGTGCTCGCCTCGTGGCAGAGCTCAGGCAGGCTGCCGCGAGCTCAGGCAGGTGAAAGAAAGTGCTTTAGGCTCAGGCGGGCGAAAGAAAATGCTTTAGTAAGTGGGGTGTTGGGGGAGAGGACTGCCTCACCAGCCATAAACCTCACTGCACATCACTGCTTTGAAGGTGCGGTCTCATGCTTCTTCAGACTCACTGAGGCTTCCCAAAGCTCCAAAAGCAG